ATTCTCCCGTACCTCATCATGGCAATACTCTACGGTATAATCATCAAAGTTCTTTGGTGGTCGATCTCTAGCAATGACATAACAAGACAGGCTTTGCAGATATCCCGAAAGAGAGTTACTAAAACGGTTGTGATTGTGACCATATTGGGATTTCTCTTTTGGAACCCAAACCTGATATACTTTTTTATTGTGAATTTTAAAGCAAAGAGTGACTCTCCAACAAATGACCTCGACGGGGAAGCGCCGGCTTTTTATGCAGTCAGTCATAACTTTATATTCTTAAACTCGACAGTGAATCCTTTCATTTACGCCCTCCAGTACACGAGATTCAGAAAGTGCATAAAACGTATACTTATCCGGCAAAAAGCGCGAAGGATCAGTAATCAACTAAGTTATATCAAGAGCGTAAAGTCAAAAAATGGTGGGCAAGACAATGCAGGCCGTACTCCAGACGACGAATGACAACCTTCTAATGGGAAGTTGCTATTGGAAAGTGATTGTTTTTTTTCCTTGTCCGCCTCTGTAATATAGGACTGCTGCTTTTTATAATTATTTAACAAATTTTTGGAGAGTCCATCACGTGACGCTTAGTGCCCTCCGCGGAAGAGTACTCGTATCAGTGCCTAGAGCCAGTCGCTTCAGAAATATTTGTTTTTGAATAAAAAAAACAATAGAGCGGTTGAAACCCAGGACATATTTTCCTCGTATAGTTGACCTTGGAAACTTGGTGTTATCAAAACTTCATAATCGCCCTCGAACTGCGTTTTTGGGCGACAATTTGTTTTCGGAACATACAGTTTCCGCTTTCAACTATCACAGCCCTCGATTCAACTGCTYTATTGTTTAAAATTTAACCACACTGATGTAAATACCTGCGCGCTGATTGGCCGACTGGAGAGTCAATAACAAAACATTCACACTGCAATGACTCTATCTGACGTTTCGCGCACGCGCATAGTTGAGAAAAGGAATTAGTTCACGAATTCTGAAATAAAAATGTGTTTAAAAAAACAACTTGCTTACAGTTTTTTCGATGTTTGTCCTCTTATTGACTCGCTGCACTCGGCTTTTCGTAGTTTTGAGCATTTTATGGCGCCAAAAGTGTCAACAATTAAGATTTAATTACCAAAAGAGCTTCACAATTGTTTAATTTATAATAATCAGTTCTGAATAAAATGTAACAAAAAAAGTGAACTAGACTGATATATACTAGAGTTGGTTAGGCAGATGAAGAGATCTCTTCAGGGCTAACATTACTTTTTCTATAGTGTTCATCTTTTATTTATGCATCGGTRTATGTCTGTGCGCTTAAATGAGTCAAATGTTTGAGTAACCATGGTCCCTTTCGGGATTAGCTTTGATGACGTAGCATTTTCGAGCATGATAACGTTTTCCAGTAAGTTGTGTCTCAAGAACTGTAAGCGATATTCTTCAGAAATTACTTTACGAAAATTTGAAAACAACTCTTTTAACTAAAACTTTTGTTACAGTTCTTAACAACAACTTTATGCAAAGGTATTCATTAACGAGACAACCTTTCTACAATGCTCTGTTACTTGTTGCGAATCGTGCCGAGTGACGAGGCAATTATATGTAAATCGTTTGAGTGCACGCCATAAAACAGTCAGTCAGTCAGTCAATTTTGAAAAAATATCGCTCGTTTTYAATTTTTTACAAAAATTGCAAAATGTTTTGCCGCGTGACAGTTCATTAAGGTAGAGATTGAACTTTATGGACGAAAACATGGTGTTTTGAAGAGCTGGCCCTATAAATAGAGCTATGAGCTTACGAGCGCATCCGGAAGTGCGACTCGGCTGTATAACGAATAGCCCTGTACCGAACATCTTGGGTAAAACTATCTTAAAAATGCCTGCACGACCGAAAGACATAGGGAGTACTCAATTTTTGATGTGTAATTACTAATCTGTTCAAAAACATAGAAAATCCAAAGAAATAGTATTCGAAAAACACCATCGCAASAATACAGAATTTCAACAGCCTCTGAAAAGGGSAAATATCCAATACCCAACTTTAACTTTCGGCCTTGTATTCACCGTTCTGATTATCCGACAACCCTTTTTGAACRAGCTGCATAACCTTTATGTTTCAATGACTTTTTCCTTGATTTTCAGATTGATTCGAGTAAAGTGGAACCACTTCGCCGTAATGACGTATTCCCATGAAGTTGATATCGTGCTAAGAACAVTCTTTGCCTTCTTCATCGTCGTCAGCATAGCAGGAAATAGTCTGGTTTGTTTGGTGGTAATTCGTTTCCCATTTATGAGAACACCTATGAACTATCTTCTTATCCATCTTGC